TATATATATATATATATTTGGAAGATTTACACACTTACCACTCAATTCTTATGTATTTACATATCCAGCACATAGACTTAAATTTTCTCATATATGCCACCTCACCTAATGAAAAGCTATATTTCATTTTTAAAAAGTTAAAATAATGGTATTTTTTGTGTGATGTGAAAGATTTGGGTGATATAAATGTAAAAGCAAAGTTTAGGCGTTAAACATCTAAATACATAGAAATTGAGCGGTATTTATGTAAATGCCCTTTCTTTTTTCCAAAAAAATTACATAACATCTTTCTTATAGCCACCACACTTTAATATATCTTGTTTCAAAAACTTCTCAGCACTAAAAAATTATAAAAAATAGCAACAAAATAATTATCCAAACAGAACTTTGGCGGTGGAATGAAACTCAATGCAGGCATAAAACTTGCCCGAACAACCCTCGAGTTAGTTAAGATCTGTTGAATTATGAGAATGACCTTTTCTTTGCAGCTCCATTGGCTGAAATCGCAAAACTTTGCGAGAGGAAGAGGAAAGAGAATGGCGTGGTTCTTTCCCTTGCTGCTGAAAATCAGAGACCTATAGTTTCTAAAACGGAGTTTGAGCACTTGAACCCAGATATCCATGGGATCCACTCCGAAAACATTTCACCCGGACAAAGTAGCATGTATGAGGACAAACTTTTGGAACCTGAGCTGGACGTTTCCCATTCTCCTCAAACAGAGGAGACTGATACTGAATAGAGTAGTGCTAAAACAAGCTCATTCAGAGCGGATGTAAATATTGGTAGAAGAGGGACTGGTTCTTAAGAATAGTTTTTATAGCTCTGAGCAACTTGCTTCGCCGTTGGACAGCCTCAAAGGCGTCCTGGTAATTGTTTCCATCTTCATTTCTATTTTTGAGTCATTTAGTGACATTGCCTTGATATTATCATACAATCTTCATAATTCTAAGCATCAAGTTTTGTGTTTCTTTACTTTAGATCAATACTTGGGTAGTGATAGAGTTTATTTTACTTTTTGAGAAAAGTTTCCTATGTATATACATATCTAACTTCTAAATTTTACTTTTTTACATTCATATCACATCAATAATACCGCCATTTTAACTTGTAAAAAGTGAAATACATCTTCTCATGCATAGGTAAGGTGGCATGTATTTAAAAAATGCAGTTGGAGTGTTAGATATGTAAATGCATAAGAATGGAGTGTTATGTATGTGAATCTTCCTTGACTTAATTGTTTACTATTTTAAGTAATTATCTCCTTTGAATTTATTATGGATTTACAAGATCTCGAAATGATTGATGAAGTATTGTTTCTGTAGAGTCTATGTCCATCATCGTCGTCTTCTTCTCTAACTTCCGGACTTTTGTTGCTGGTAGGATGGACGAGACAAAGAGTTGATGATTTAGGACATTGATCTACCTGAATCCAATTACAAGCAATCATGCAATTTTATAAAAGTTGCATGTAGACTAAGAAAGGAATCATATAGTTTGAATGAGGGAAAGATAATTTCATGATTTATGAATTAGTTTTGAGTGTTTGAATGTTTCTTTCAATCTGTAATCTGATCATAGCCTATTGAATATATTTTCTGTTAATTCTAAAGCTGTTGAAAGGTCAAGGAATTTTTTCAAAGGCCATGATCAGATTACGGATGCATTTTCTTTATAACTCTGAGTTTGTTTTTCTGACAATCATTATGTTTGGAGAAGTTAATCTAATATTATCTGGAGAGAATTGACTCATTATTAATGTCTTCATGCTTTATGTAAGCCATATTTTAATATACACAATAAGCAATTTTTGTCTTATTTTATTTATTTATTTATTATCTATAAAATATGCTGCCATACATGTATTTATTCTGACAAGGTTTTCATTTTATTGCAATAAGCAAGCATAGCATAATCATAAGTTTTCATTTTATTGCAATAAGCAAGCATAGCATAAACATAAACATTACATTACATTACATTACATTCAACCTGATAAAAGAGATGCAGTGCACAAACTTCATCTCATTAATTAGGTGGAAACAAAATAAAACATATTAAATATTTAAAAACAAAACCATAGCATTTTTGCATCATTACATGTGCACATATATTAAGCTTCTTCTGCTGCCTTTGTTAGTTTTTTCCTTTGCTGACTTTTGCCTGCATCATATAGACATTGAAAATTTCAATTACTGTTACAAATCTATGCATAAAAAAACATATATGCAAATAGTGTATGTTTAGGTGTTAGATATATAAATATATAAAAAGTGTATGTCATATATGTAATAATGTAAATGCCCCTTATGAGCTATATCCCATAAAGTTAGGAGGTTTGATCTATTTGAGATTTACTTTCTTCTTTGTTTTATTTTTTAGACTTTTGCCACACATTCATATTGCAAAATTTGCAGCTGCCTCAAACAAGAAGGTATGTACCTGAACCTTCTTTGTTGGGGCACGCGGCTTCTGTTCAGGCTTCTTAGAAGCTGAAGACTTTGGCGATGAGGGTTTGGGCTTTGCTTCGGCTGTCTTGCTCCCCAGTCCTATCGGGACTTGGGAACCACCAGGCCTCTCAGCCTTCATGGATGCCATCTTTAATTCGCTCTCTAAGAAGCCTAAAAGTTTTTTTTTTTTTTTTTTTAATTTAAGAGGCTTGGAAGAAATTAGTGCCTTGTTTAGGACTATTTATAGGATGAAATATTAGGTCTCGTCAGCTCAAAGAATCACATTCATTATGACTTCATTATGAAGTATTCGATGTCGGCTTTACGAATACTCATTTTTCATCTGTTGCGTTCAATATATGTTACATATCTAATATTTAAAGATGTAATATTTATATACATGCCGTTCAAATTTTTAACATCACATCAAAAATATCAATTTACTAACTTATTAAGAGTCGAATAAATCATCTTTGTATAAGTTTATAACACCAAGATGTTGACAATGTGTGTGTGTCTATATATATATATATATATATATTATTTTTATTTATTTAATAAAAGTGTACCACCTCTTCTCAATGTTTGATATTTACACTGACAACACTTTGTTGCCATTAAATTATTAATGAGAAAACTATATTTCATTTTTAATAAGATAGTGATGATTTGAGGGTGCATATGTAAATATGAATGTTTAAATGTTAGATGTGTAAATACATAAGAATTGAGTGGTATATATGTAAATGACCCTTCAATTTATGTCTTTTAACCCTAATCCTAACCTAGGGAATCAGATTCAAAGAAAGGAGATGGTGATTATTGGAGTATGAGGCCATGGAATCAAATGCAATTAGAAAAGGTTTATTGCACAAAGAATTAGATGCCTGAATTTTCATCCACTATAGGGAATGATAGAATTATATATTATAAATGCATCCAACATATAATTGTTTATATCAAATATATGCATAAAAAATATATTTACTTTATTTTAGATAAATTTGTGTTGATGCCTTAATAATATTCTTTAGAGATAAATAAATACTATTTCCTATATATTTACATTTTTAATATCTAAGTTTTGCTTTTTACATTTATATCACTCGAGATTTTCATATCGCCTTTAAAATATCACTAAAATTATACAGTAGGTATATATATATATAATAATAATAATAATAATAATAATAATAATAATAATAATAATAATAATAATAATAATAAAGCTTTTAGATATGTAAATACTAAGAATTGAGCGCAAATCTTTCAAATTATATATATGTATGTATGTATATAGGATCCTAATTTGGCCTTTGTGAATGAGAGAAAGGAAGAGAGATGGTAGAATAAGTTTTGAATTTCTATAGAGAGAATCGAGGGGAGGTGAAGTCCCATTTATTCGTGTTTTTACATGGTACTTATATATGTTTGTTTTGTACAATTATAGAATGAATGAGCGATTATGAAAACTATTTTTGAAGTCATTAATGTCGTAATTGATTGTACAAATTTTATGTCATATTTGTATTATAATTTGAATTTTAACATTGGAGGTAATTGACGAATCGACTAGCTAGAAGTCAGTCGACTGAGGGGACTGGGTGAGTGGCTTATGTGCCCTTACGTGTTGGTCGGTTGAGTTGTTCTGTCTCAAGACTATCTTGCTCGTTGTCTTTTGACACAGTCAACCAAAACAGTTAATTGTGAGGTGGTCGTTCAATACGGACGCGGGGTCGGTCAATCGAATTTGATTGGTTTGTTTTTTTCGTTGAGTGAGTCGTGACTCATTTTCTGTTCGGCTAGAGTTTTATGGGGCTCCTATCTCGCCTGTCTGATTTGTTCGTCGCCTCGACCGGATCTCCCAATCTTGCAAGGTCTTAGGCAAAATTTGTTACAGCCCGTGCCGAAAATCCGATAAGACTTATTGTCGGGATGATCTAAACCTCACTTTCGCACGGGTCTTGCTGCTACCGAGCGGGAAACCATTTCTAGAGCTCAAATTTATCACAGTTTTGAGATGAGGCTTCATACTCGAAATTGAGTCATTGGTTGATTACTTACCTCGAAAAGGAGACTCTTTCATATTGATCGTTCATTCTCTTTAATATTCATGCTGATATTTTGATATATTGTGTGTGTATGTATATTGTGCCACGTATTCAGATCACTTGGTTGAACATCTGCTAGTTAGTTGTAAGCCACTTCTGGTTTATGGTTCGATTCCTTTTGAGTGTAGGGTGTGGTGCTCAAATTATTAGGCGCACGAGGAATGACCGAGACTTAATAGTCTTCCACCATTCCTTTAAATATATATATAAAATGGATGGAATCACAATTCGCACAAATCTCGATGTAACATGGACGGCAATCACTGCTCCGTTTTCATTCATAGGAAGAATTTCGCTTTCCTTGCGACTGATCCCCCTTCTCTCTTTCTATCCGAGCAAGCGCAACTGTTTCGCGATCGATCAGACAGTGGAGTTCGATCGAAAGATTTCTGAACATTTTAATCTATCTTTACTCCAATTTTTGGCTCCACCATCCGTATTCACCCTTTCCTACGTCCCTTATTCGCCATCGCCAGCTAGGGTTTGTGGTTCTTGATCTCTGTTGGATCTCTTGTTGAAGGGATGGAGCCAATGGATATTGTCGGGAAGTCAAAGGAGGACGTTTCGCTCCCAAAAGGTGTGTTTTTTTTGTATGACTTTTTTCTTTCATGATATTGTTGCATTTTCTGATTGTTGATTTGGGAAATTTTTTCAAGATTTGGGGATGATTTTAGGTTTTGAGAATGGAGAAAGTTGGCGTTTTGTATGAAATAAAGTAATTTTTTTTTTAAATTGCATCATTATTGTCAGCCTCATAGCAAGTATTTGGGAATTATTTGATGATTTTTCATTTTTTTTTTGTGCTTCATTCTCATTTTCTTGCAGATCTTGTTGATAAGTTGAATCCACACACTATACCTATATATA